TCCGCAGCCGAACAGTTAGCCGTGTCATGCCTCAAGAAAGGTCGCTGCTCCACCGATGATCTGCTCGAGCTTTCAAGCCTTCTGCCATCGGAGGCCCAACCACGCTCAGCTCAGGTGTGCTCCGATGAGCGATCGTTCACCACTGGGGCTTATTGCCATGGGCCCATGTCAGGTTTGAGAAACGCTGTGAAAACTTTCCCAGCCGTCTCCTGCCTGATGGCTAGCTTGGCAAAGAGTGTCTTCCCGAAGCTGACTTTCAACTCGTTGGGCCTCTTTCGAAACATCAAGACCCGGCGCCACAAAGACCTGCGGAACCTGGCAGGGTCTTTGAATGGTGTCGCCCCCTTTTGCAAGTTCAAAGGCGGCGGGATTAGGATCCACAACGACGCAGGTTTTTCTGATTTGCCAGTCGCTGAGGGCCCGGTGTTCTTTGATGCTTCAAAGGAACACGAGACTCTTGAATGGTCCGGTGGACCGCGTCTGGTTCTTGTGGCATTCAGTGTCGCCAGGCTCTCTGGCCTGAGCAGCACAGACGTCGACCTCCTGCACCATTTGGGTTTCCTTTTGCCAGATTCAAGCTTTGTAAACTTCCCTAAAGGACATCCGGAAGTGGCTGCCAGCACCACCTCCGCAATGCATGGTGCTCCTACCGGCATTGTGTTAGATGTCTTCGCGGGAGATGCAGGGTTGTGCAAAGCCGCCCAGAAATCTGGTTACCACGCCATAGCCTTTGACATAAATCCTCAGAGAGCCCAGTTTCCTATCCAGCCACTCAACCCCACTAAGGTCGATGAGATGCAAATACTTCTTGATTTGGTGTCTGAACATGCTGCCAGCCTGCTTGTGGTTCAATGCACGGTGCCGCTGCTAGGAGCTTTCTTCTCTCAGGATCGCGGTTCGCCGACGTTTGCAACTGCCTTAGCATCAGCAGTCAGAAACCTTGTCGATCATTGCGTGTCATTGGGAGTGCCGGTTGCAATCCTGCACCCAGCATCTTCAACCTTTTGGGAACATCCTGCCGTGACAAAACTTTGGTCGTCGCCAGGCGGTCAATGGACCACGTTTGACCAATGCATGCATGGTGGAGCACAGGACAGACGAGCACACTGGTGGTGCACGACTTCACTTTTTGGCGCTTTGTCAGCCCTGTGCGCTAAGGACCATAAACATTTCTCGCAACCGTCTTCAGCGTCACCTTGGCCCTCACTTCTGTGGCTTAGAGCCGTTGAGCTCCTCAACCATGCTTGTAGCAAGCCCACAGTGAACGCCTCTTTGTTTGGCCCTCCAGGCGCAACCTTGCGCCCGGCTATGGGAAAGCAATCACGGAAGGCCAGGCCTTTGGTGAGCGAGTTCCGTGCCTACGATGCATGGGCGGTGCCCCTGCGGTCCGACCCTGCGGACCTCCTGAGCTGCTATCCCAAAGGTGCTCGTGTTGTCAGGCGCAAACTTTGTGTCTGGGGTCAGGTTGGGGTTTGCTCCGTGCCTTCCGTAGACTTTAAGGTTCTTGAGTCAAGTTTGAGTGCACATTGGATGTGGGCCTCCAATCCTGACCATTTTTCAACCTCTGATGACAAGGACAGCACGACTGGGGTTTGCGGCTCATGCCTCAAAACCAGTCACGACTTCGAAGACAACGTCGAGGTCGTGTGGGTGGGAATTCCGCGCGAGCCCGACGATTTCCTTGCCAAGGCCGTGCTAGCAGGACACCCTAAAGCATTGCTTGACTCGGAGCCTGACCCGCACATGCTGATGCTCATTGATAATCTGCTAGAAGGTTCGGTCGACAGCCCTCAAAAGGGACGCGCCGAGCTGGATCGGTGGAAAACCCTGAAAGCTAACTTCAGTGAGCAGCAAGATAGTGTCAGGAAGGATTGGGATCCACACGTCAGAGAAGTTCTTGGCGACAAATCTACGGTGCTCTTGGACTTCCTACTAAAGGAGATCGACTTCCCTGACCATCGCCTCGTCAAGCACATGACTCAGGGTTTTAG